TTCGCGAGTGCCGAAAGCCCGTTTCGGGCCGGTGGCGACGAGGATCAAGGTGAGATTAAAAGAGTTGAGAATGATGCAAAGGCACTAAACATTATACATTCTGCATTAAACTCTGATGAATTTTTTAGAATTTAAGCTTGTACAGTAGCAAAAGAAGTGTGGGACTTAATTTAAGTGACACATGGAGGAACTTCTGATGTTAGACGTGCTATAAAGAACACTTTCATCCAAGAATAAGAGACGTTCAAAATGACATAAGGAGAGACTATCATCGATATGTGATGAGTCAATATTTTCCTCCATTTTCTTACCTTTCTGTACTTATTTTAATCTCTGATTTGTGCTTAATTGTTTATATTCTGCACTATTTTCTATTTGGGCTTTAATTGGACCGGTAATTCATATTTTAGCTAATTTGAATTTTTTGCATCTAATTATTCCAAATTTCATTTTCAGGGCAGTTTAATAATTATTTGAGCTTGGAATTAATTTAGGACTTCAAGTGGAGCTGCCACGTCATTTTCCACCTCAGCATCATTTTCCACCTTAGCATTTATTTTCAGTTTTTAGTCTATTTTATTGTAGTTTGGTCAGACTTGTATTGTGGAGGGGCCAAATTTCGTTTTAGGTCATTTAGGTCTAGGGTAGGGCTGACTGGGCAGCCACTAACATGAGAGGCTGATGTCACTACGTAGCTCTCTCTCATTCTTTGTTCCTGCACGTTTTTGGCTTCCATGTTCTGCTTCCTTTACGTTTTGGCTGCTCTCTATTTTTCTTTACGTTTTCTTTAGTTTTTATGGTTGTATTGTGAGACTCCATTTTCATTTTGAATACAGATTGTTCATCTCATTTTGTTTTCCTTCTCTACCTTGCATTTTCGTTTCCCTTCTCTGCCTAGCATTTCTGTTTCGTTTCTGTATTTTAATGGAAGGCTAAAAACCCCTGGGTTGGCTTCTTGTTGTGGATTATAATCTCTGTTTGAGGTTGGGTATGTGTTTTTATCTCTCTTCTGCTTTGTTCTTCTTCATTTAACCTCTGTATCAATGTGTCCATGCTTAATGGGCTGTGTTCAATGCCATAGTTTCTTAATCTGTGAAGAGGTTGATGTTAAAGGTTGTGTTTTATTTATTTTTGTTGTGTGTTTAGTGTTTTAGAGTCTCTGTTATGTTATGTGTGTTTTTGGTGTAGTGTTTTAGTGTATCAATATATCAGTTTTAGTGTATGATTTTTTGTTTCAATTTTGTATGAATTTTGTGTATCAGTTTGGTGCTTGCATTTTTGTGTGTCATTACATGTTATGTTGTGTATTTGTGTTTGTTATTAGTCTCCCCAGGTGTAGCAAGTAAGCCAGCTGAAGAATTCATGTTGTTAAGTCTGATGAACAGTAAACCAATGGAACAGTAACTCAAATTTGGTTTTTGATGCATTTGTTGTCATGTGTTTGTCATAGCTGATCTTTATTGCATTTGATAGGCCATTGTGACCAATTATATTGATTCCATTTGGTGTGCTGAATCATTTTTGTGTGTGTTGAGTTTCAATTCTGGTGCATTTTGTGGTGCATTGTGGTGCAAAATCTGGTGCATTGTGGTGCAAAATCTGGTGCGTTTTGGCTCAAAATCTGGTGCGGTTTTGCTCTGTTTTGGTGCGTTTTCTGTCCGTTTTGGTGCATGTTCTATTTCAGTCTTAGCATACTCTATTTTGGTTGTCTACTATTCCTCTGTTTGGGTGCCAAAAATGTGGGAAAATGGTGTGCAAGTCTTGCAAAATCTGGTGCATTTCATGTGTGCGTGAATAGTGCTGAATAGTGCTAGAATTTTCCAATTAATTGTGATTTTTGGTTTTGATAGCTAGACTTGTTATTTTTGTCTCAATTTTTGTGTGGTATCTCAAATTTTGTGTGGTAACTTCATTTAACCTATATTTTGTGTAAAAAATAGCTAGGGCACATAGTTTGGTCAAAATTTGGAAATACCAAAAATTTTGAAAATTGTTTTTAGCAAAACTTAAAAGGGCCATAACTTTGGCTCTGGTTATCAGAATTAGGCAAAAAAATATTTCATTTTGTGTAGAAAAAAAAGATCTATCCAACCCACACAAAAAGATCTTCAAAAAAGTGTCATTTACTATTTCTTTTTTATTTTTCAAGTTTTATTTCACTATTTTTCCAAACTTTTCTTAGGTAGTTCATGTAGATAGGCTTTGAATTTTGTTCTCAAATTTTTTGCGGTAGTTTCTAATTATTTTAGGATGATATTGGTGCATTGGTTTTGATAGTTTCTAAGTTTTCATGAAAATTCCCTTTTTACCCCTACTGTTCACGTAGTAGTTGCATGTGGTTCCATGTAGTGCATGACTAGGAATAATCCACACACTTTGCATCCATTTGATCCTGAAATTGATAGAACATACCATAGATTAGTTAGAGAGCATATAGTCCCACCTGAGAGTGATATCCATAGTGTGAGTGTAGCATCTGAAGTTGACTCAACTGAAAATATGGGTGACCAACCTGGACCTCGAGAGAGAACACTTAGGAAGATGGCTGCACCTGATTTCACATATGAGAGTTTATGCATCCAATACCCTGAGGAAGATGTTCCTTTTGTGCTTAAAACTGGACTAATCCATTTGTTGCCTAAGTTTCATGGTCGTGTAGGTGAGGATCCACACAAGCATCTCAAGGAGTTCCACATAGTTTGTTCCACCATGAGGCCACATAATGTCCCTGAAGATCACATCTACCTGAAGGCATTCCCTTTTTCATTGGAGGATCTTGCCAAGGACTGGTTGTACTATCTGGCTCCTGGTTCAATAACAAGCTGGGATGACTTGAAGAGAGTGTTCCTCGAAAAATTCTTCCCTCCATCCAGGACCACTACAATCCGGAAAGACATATATGGAATTAGGCAACTCATGGGGGAGAGCTTATACGAGTACTGGGAGAGATTCAAGAGGCTGTGTGCTAGCTGCCCTCACCATCAAATTTTTGAGCAGCTATTATTGCAGTACTTCTATCAGGGGTTGAATATAATGGATAGAAGCATGATTGATGCAGCTAGTGGAGGAGCTTTAGGAGATATGACACCTGCTTCTGCTAGAGGGCTGATTGAAAAAATGGCGTCCAACTCACAACAATTCAATATGAGGAGTGATGCCATAGTTGTGAGGGGTGTGCGTGATGTGGTAGCCTCAGATTCCACTGAACATAAGAAGCTGGAAAGTAAGATTGATGCTCTCACCACCTTGGTTTCACAACTGGCTGCAAATAAAAAATCAGCTCCACCACCAGCAAAAGTATGTGGCATCTGCACTTCAATTAGTCATCCAACAGATGTTTGCCCCTCCTTGCAAGACTCTTCTACAAGTCCTGATGCCCCACAAGCATATGCTGCTAACATTTACAACAACAGACCTCCACACCAGCAGCAACATAATTATGATTTGTCTTCCAATAAATACAATCTTGGTTGGAGGAGTCATCCTAACTTGAGGTGGGGAAACTCTCAGCAGCAGCAGCAGCAAAATCCATAACCTTTCCAGAACAATCCCTCAAGTTCTACATATCAGCCTCCTCAACAGAGACCTCTTCTTGTATCTGCACCTCCACCAGCTCCTCAACCTTTTACTTCTGAACCTTCATTGGAGGAGTTGGTGAGGCAGATGACTCTTCAAAATATGCAATTCCAACAAGAGACCAGAGCCTCCATTCAAAGTTTAACAAATTAGATGGGGCAGATGGCCACTCAACTCAATCAAGCACAGTCCCAAAATTCAGACAAGTTACCTTCATAGATTGTGCAGAATCCAAAGAATGTGAGTGCCATCATGATGGAAATCTAATCCCGAAGGATCCATTTGGAAGAGGTAAGACCAAGAAAGGTGAAGGATGATCCAAGAAGGCTCACCCATGAAGACCATTGGGCCTTTAATTAGGTCCATGGTTAGGAAGCTAGAGGAGACTTCTAAAGAGGAGGTGCTCAAAGACCTTTGCTCATCATGAGCATTGATTATAGTTCCTCTTATTAGTCTCTTAAGTTTCCATTGTACATACTTGTATAGTTGTTTTCTTGTACCTTGTATATAGTAGATACTTGTATAGGTGTATTTTTGCCTTTGTATTTGTGAGGCACTTTATTTCCTTTTTAGTAGCTATTGTATATTGTTTCTAGGGTAGGTTACTTGGACACTTTGACTCCATTTAACCTAACCTAGAAATACATTCTTTTCTTAGTTTTCTAGTAGTAGGATTGGGAGTGGCATTAGCAAGCTAGAGAGTGCCATTAGCAAGCTAGAGAGTGTTACTAGCAATTTAGCCAAAAGGTGGTCCTAGGCTAAAATTTACATATTGGACTCATTTTACTCCTAATTTTTCATAGATTTGATTTAGCTAGGTTCCATTCACATTGGATGAACCTAACTAAACCAAATTATCAATTTCAAAACCGGTTGGAGTAAATTAAGTCCAAAGAGCCGCCCACCTAGATGTGTTCACACTTGTGTTCACACTTGGCCAAATAGCTTGGTTCTTCTCAAGCTTGGAAGCTTGAAGCACAAGCTTCTCCTTAGCTAGCTTACCAAGCAAGCTAAGTGAGGAGCTTGCTCTCCAAGCCTCTAGACCATGGGTGGTTAGCTAGACCTTACCATGGTTCCTAGTGAACCATGGTTAAGACTAGCTTACTCTCCAAGCTTCCTACTCCTATATTTTCGTTTTTCCCTCTTTGTAAAACACTTTTGAGATAATTGAGATTGTATTTTCTGAATAGAGTTCAGATTTCTCTCTTCCAAAAGTCCCTAAACCTCTTTGAGTGCATCCAATTCTCTTATCCCTTCATAGAAGAGTGTGGTGAGAATTGAAGGGGCTTATCTCTTCTCCAAGGAGTGGCGCCTCTTGGGAGTGTTCCTCCACCAACCGTGGTGGCCTTAAGGCTTCCTCCTCCATAGGAAGCCTTAATCAAGCATAGGAAGAATCAAGGAGTTCAAGGTCTAGGGAGGAGCTTGAAGGGAACTCACATCAATCTGGGTTTCTCCAACAAGTTTCCATCACATCACCTTCAGGTCTGGCAAACACATTGACATCCCAACACCTCCACCTGAGCCTACACTTGAGAAAGAGGACTATACAGGTAGTAGCCGAAATTTACATGCAGGTGGACCTTCTTCCAGTGCACATAGTGATGATCTACATCAACCTCCTATCCCTCTTCCATTTCCACCAAAATCAATTCCAAGCAAAAAGATGGAAGAAGTGGATAAGGAGATATTGGAGACCTTCAGGAAGGTGGAGGTGAACATACCTTTGCTGGATGCCATCAAGCAAATTCCCAGATATGCTAAGTTCCTGAAAGACTTGTGCACCCACAAGAGGAAGCTGAAGGGCAATGAGCGAATCAGCATGGGCAGAAATGTCTCGGTCCTCATAGGTAAATCTATTCCACATATTCCTGAAAAGTGTAAGGACCCAGGTACATTTTGTGTACCTTGCATTATTGGTAACAATAAATTTGAAAATGCCATGCTTGATTTAGGAGCTTCAATTAATGTCATGCCTCTGTCTATTTTTAATTCTTTGTCTCTTGGTACTTTGCAACCTACGGGTGTCGTCATTCAGTTGGCCAATAAGAGTGTTGCCCACCCCACAGGTTTTGTAGAGGATGTCTTGGTTCGGGTTGGTGAACTAATTTTTCCCACTAATTTTTATGTTCTTGATATGGAGGACGGATTCTCCCATGGTTCTATCCCAATCATTCTAGGCAGACCATTTTTAAAAACAGGCCGAACTAAGATTGATGTTTATGCTGGCACCTTGTCTATGGAATTTGGTGATATTGTTGTTCATTTTAATATTTTGGATGCCATGAAATTTCCTTCTGAAGCTCATTCTGTTTTTCATGCTGAATTGATTGATGATCTAGTTGATGAGCACATTCATGGTTTAGATTCTTCTCATGCTAAGAAGCATTCATTTTCATTTGATTTGTATAGCTATCTTCCATGCATTGAGTCTGAGTCTGAATCTGAATATCAATCTGAATGTGAAACTGATTTTGAGCCATCTGAATTTGAATTTGAAACTTTGGGTGTTGTACCTCTTGCTCTTGATTTTATACAGTCAGAATGCACTAACCATGTTGCAGGAAGTACAAAAGAATCTGACTTGCAGGTTGAGGTACAGGCTGCGCAACCCCTTCTCCCTTCTTTGGTTCCTTCTGATGTTCAGCCAGCACCCACACTAGCGTTGAAGCCTTTTCCAGAGAACCTCACGTATGCCTACCTGGAGGATGATGATAGATTCCCTGTGATCATATCCACATCCCTTGATGTTGATCAAGAAGAGAGGTTGCTGCATGTGCTTCGGAAGCACAAGAAGGCATTTGGTTGGACCCTGGCAGACATTCCTGGCATTAGCCCATCCACATGCATGCACAGGATATTATTGGAGGATGGAGCTAAACCAGTGAGACAACCTCAGAGGAGACTTAACCCGGTGATTTTGGAAGTTGTGAAGAAAGAGGTGACCAAGCTTCTACAGGTTAGGATCATCTATCCCATTTCAGATAGTCAGTGGGTGAGTCTGGTCCAGGTGGTCCCCAAGAAGACAGGCCTCACTGTTGTGAAAAATGAGAGGGATGAGCTCATCCCCACTAGAGTGCTCAATAGTTGGAGGGTCTGTATTGACTACCGGAGGCTTAACCAA